ATAAAGCATTTGCCGTTGATCAATCCCTTTTGGGATGCGGCACGCATTCTACTTCCATTTGTACATTCGTAGTGGCGTTTGAATGCGATGTGGCCTATACAATGACTTGCGGGGGCCAGCCGATGTACAAGTCAGTGTTTTTTCCCTCCCAGACAAGTCTGGTACCAATTAACCGACCCCGGAGGGATGGAAGGCTTGGTTGGCCCGGGCGACTCACGACCCAGGATTTGATCCCCGGACCGCTCGCGTGGTAAGCGTGCCACTTGCCACTACACCACTTCCGCCCAAGAATAAGTTTTACTCTTTCAAATAAACTATTTTGGATCAATTAAGATATCTATGTAGGAATCGATTTCCTCATCATAGATTTTCCAAGATAGATGGTCCAATGTCAATGCATGTTTGCCAAGCGCGCGTCAAGGGATCAAATGCTGGATCGTACGTCATGGAGCCTCCAACACAGCGCTCCATCATACGGATCAGCGATTTATCACAGACTTGCATGGAACAATGCACACACTGCTTAAACATATCGGATGCTCGCGAAAGTATTAGGTACCGGATATCTTAGTGTCGCTTTTCTGAGTTCAGGAAGTTTTGGGGCCGATTACTATGGAAAATCAATATCCCAGAAGGCAGTTTTTGCTCATTAATATTGCGAAATATGTTGCTTACCGTCTTCTATTGTTGGTTCACAATTTAACTTTCCCCCAATTTTTATACTTTCTTCTGAAAATTCCTGGGTCCAGTGTGCAAATTCGCATGTGTGTACCAAATGCATCAAAATTCTTGCTGAGAGCTGTAACCTCCGCCCACCAAACCAGCATTGCATTTGATGGAGGGAATACTACCATTTAAAATGCTCATCGGTTTTTCACAGTTTTCTTAAAAGACAGTAAAGTCTTTGAAGGGATGCCCGCAACCGTCGCCAAAAAGGTGGTCCTAGCTAAATCAGTCAAAACGGGGCTGCACCAGTCTTGTGCTGGAATGGTAGGACACCCTAGCAGTTACTGATCGATGGTGCACAGACGCTCTAACGAAGTTGATTGACCAAGAAATTCTAATAAATGTGCTCATCTGCTACTCACGTGTGCTCAAAAAGGGTGCGTTTTTGACCCCATGTGGCAAAAAAGACTCCGGGAAAAATTGTCCAGTTGAGCTGGTAAGTAATAAATTTTCCACCAAACAGTGCAGACCCTACTCTAACTAAATGTATACATATTTTGTCCAGGCCCAACTGTTTAGCAAGGTAGAGGGATGATTTGTCAGATGATGTCAAATTCGACCTACCTCTCTTTTTCGTCTCAAAAAATTCCTAACTTTAATCGTACGAGGTTTTCACTCATACTGGTAAATGGGAAAGGGCTAATGAGTCATTCGATGGATATGCCGTTTCACTCACTGGATTTTGAATTAAAATATTGGTGGTCCGAAACTCGCGGTGAAAAAACGACACTAAGATATCCGGTACCTAAAATAATTACGTAGGATGAATTGCATTCAAAATGCCGCTGCAATTCTGAATGGAAGTAGAGTGCGTGGCGCATCGCGGGATTGGATTGGTCAACGCCGCATGCTTCCCCCTTTATTTTCGAAGATTCTATGAGCCTATTATTTCCAAAAAAGGCCAGTATAACGACGGAAGAAATTTTAGCCGCGGTCGCTTCAAGCCCAAGCATTTACCACACATATCACTGGTTAGGTGACCCAACGCCATACGATAACAAATCAGTTGAATTTCATTTTTATTGATCTTAATCTGAAGAAAATATGTCAAGGATGGAAACAAAAACAAAGAATTTCCTCATAGAAGGCAATAATCGAAACAACAGGAACACAGTTGGTAATTAATGATAATGTAAAACAATATTGCGCTATTCTCGACTAGATCACAAATACCTCTGAATAGCTACAGTATAGGAGCTACTACAACTACAATCCACACAAATGTACACAAGGGGAACCGGTAATCTGAGAAAATGGCTTTACGTGCGTAGATGTGATATGCTGATTTCACAACAGACAGATGTGGAGCATTAAAGACGAAAGTGACAGAATATGTCCGGAAGCCGCCGGTGAAAGCCCTTGGATGCCAAGGAATACGACACACACACACGAAAACAGAAATGATTGCAAACGAAGCACCCGGATCCTCAAAAACCGTGACTGAAGCGCACAACCTTGGCAAAATTTTCTCTATGAAGCATCAACAGGAGCAATCTTAAACGTTTCGCCAATAACTGGGCTGTTGATTTCTGCCCAAATCCATTCGAAGCACCGTTGCTCCAGAGGGTGTGACTTCGGTGGTGAGTACGGACGACGAGCCGCCATCAGAATACGCCGAGTCGTCGCTCATTTTGGACGACGGGGGGCGGAATTACTCTTGATGGGGTTGTACCCTGAGGAGGAGGTGGTGGTGGGGAAAAGTCCGGTGGAGGACGATGATGGAACACCTGAGGCTGATAGACGGAGTCCAGATCGCTTCCACGAATCATCGACGTATCAAACGGAGGATAATGCACGGCAACGCCTGGGTGAGGGAACGAGGAGGCCATACGGGGTAACATATGGCCCGGTACCATCTCTCCATACGCAATCGTTGCGTAGTCGCGTAGTTCTTGTAATGAAATATAGAAATAGCATGAAGAAGGTAGAGGCACTTGAGAAGAATGGACATACCATTAGCTTGTGATGGATGACGCTGATAGTGGTGCACAAGTGGTTGTTGAGGGTAGGCCGAGTTCATAGAGGAATCCAATCCTCGAGGTGATGTGTGCATCTTCTCGGACGTGGGATACTGAAAATGGCTTATTCAGTCACATGTCTCATAGAGCGATCAGACGGAACCGTAATGCAGAGGTCTAGCCGCAGTGATTTGAGGGCCCATCGAACGATCAGCCTAATTTGAACAAACCCTCTCCCGTCAGTGACATAGCTGTGCCCACAACCACAGAGATAACATCAATTCAAAACGCATGGCAAGGCCGCTAAGGGCTTATGCCCTTCATTCATGTATACCTCCCATTTGCAGCCCCAGCGTTGCAAACACGCTGCGGTCTGCGTCTCACTTGTCCCCTATGCTCTCTCGTCTACAGGTCTGTTTCCATGCTTTGGCGCCCATTGTTATCAGGAAAATATTTGTCACAAAGTATCAAAACTGTCCACCACCACAAGAAAGGAGGATTTAGTTTTTGCAGACGTTCTTCATGTTTTCTCGGTAGGCAGCTAATTCGCAGTCACCTTCATATTCATTTTCGAGCGCAAAAATAATATCATATCGACGTGGTTGCAGACTGTACCTTTAAGCCCACCAGACACTGTGACCTGGGCACTCCCCTGGACTTCACATATTCAACTTTTTTTCTCAAATCTGAGATACATGTCGTGTTCAAGCTATTTTCTGTGCTGCCGGAACCAACTAACCGTTTCTAAGACGGCCCCACGAGGTCAGAGACGTGGTCACCTGAGACTTTTTCAAAGCTACAGAAGCCTAGTAACAAGAAAAACTCGAACTCACGATGAATTCGCTGCCACTCCTCTCTGACGGGGACATGGTCCCATGTTTTTGTGGATCTCTAGAGGTGTTCCGGGAACTGGAACTAACACACGGGAGATGGTGATTGTTGCACCATCGCAAAACATCGTATCGCATCTGTAATACAACCTTTTTGACGGCAATCAATTGATTAGGAGGCGGAAATGATGTCTTACCTTCTCTGAGAACAACACATGGAACAGGAAGATGAAGAGACCCTGAAGGGAGTTCGCAATTGTGAATGCGTACGCCATCACTATCGAATGTCCATCGTCGATCCACAACAATCCACACGTCCAGGTGACACCGAGAAGGCAAACCAAACCCATCGCTCCTTTGACCCAAGTCCTGAAAAGGTAACTGAATAATATTCCAACTCAGGGAAAATCCTTGAATTAAGGGTTGATCGTCTCGTTTAAGAATAGCTGTAGTGAGCACGGACGGAAAACGTTCAGCGTAGACGGCCTGGGAAGTCATTGGGAATAAGTGGGTGACTTGGATCAACCTGAGACACTTCCGATTCCGCCCAAAGTTGCAAAAATGCGTCGAATAAAGAGGGAGTGGAGGGTGGGGGGAGGTGTGTGATTGCTAAAACTGTGGATTTCCTTATGAAACTTATTTTTATTTTTATGTAAACTATTTCCCAACCAACGAGGAGGCCTATAGGAGGCTTAATTAGCGAACAGGAGACTTAATTAGCGAAATGGGTTCGTGTTTCTGCAAGACGTGGGGAAAGGATTATTCGAA